TCCGGCCAGAAAAAGTGGGACCATAACCTGCCTGACTTAGTGTTTGCCCTGAACTCCTCCCGACAAGAATCCACCGGGTTTTCTCCGGCTTTTCTAAACTTTGGTAGAGAACTTGAAGTCCCCAAAGCTACGTACCGAAAACCCGATGGTGGAGACACAAACGAACCCGAACCCGAAAGCGCAAATACTAACGCCGACTTAAGGTTACATGCCGACCACCTGGCCCGCATGCAAGAAATCTTTGAACTTGTCCGAGTAAATCTAGCCCGAGCATTTACTACCCAGAGTAAGCATTATAACTTACGACGCCGAGAATGGAGGTGCCATGTTGGCGATAAAGTAATGAGACGGGAGGTCCATTTATCCTCCGCCGACAAAGGATTTGCCGCAAAACTTGCCCCGAAATACTCCGGCCCCTACACGGTAACTAAAGTTATTTCGCCCGTCGTGTATGAGCTCAAAGGAGAAACAGGACGAAAGTTAAACCGAATACATATTAAAGACCTGAAACCCGTGCCCAGAAATTAACACTGTTTCAATTTGAAATAGTCCCAGAACACCCGACCCGAAACAAACCCAGCAATAGCGTGTGAAATGCCCAGAACACCCCGTTTGATATCCGACAGGATATCGCCGTGACGTCAGGTCAAAATAAAAAGAAATGAAATTTCTTTTTTTTCCGAAGTAAGGGGGGGATGTAACGAAGTTACTTTTTCCCTATCCCTACCCTGTGTTACAGAATCCCGATTTAAATGATTTATTTCACGTAAGTCATAAACGACCCCGGAATAGCCCATATGTAGCGCTCCACCGGAATGACCCGTATGATAGTCAAAGCGCACAGCAAAAAACAGCCAGATTGTTTACTTGTGCCTTTCGACGAAGCGTTTTTATGCCAAGCAGCAACCGAGAGCACCGTCATGTCAAAAGATTTGCCACAACGCCGGGATTGGTCGAACCTGACATCATGCTGGTGACTCGCGCAGCCGGCCATAGGAGGGAGACCAGAGGGCATATAAGCGGGCGCAGCGCCTTCGAAGGGATCACTTATCACTTCTCATCAGTGCGGCGAGTACTTCTACCGACCGACCGACCGCCACCCGACCGTCCGACCGCTAAAGATAAAGTAAGTTGTTGTAACTAATTTTCTGTTTGTTTGTTTGTTTCAGAGACTTCCCTTTTATTTTCAAGTTATTCTTTGTAAATTCATTTTCCATTTTATTTATTGTTTTGTACATACGAGGATTTATTTTCAATATATGTATTAACCGAACCACATCATTTATTCTTAAATTCCCCGGAACCCTGGAATTTTATCTCCACTGTTGACCCTAAAAGCTACCCTCGCATATAGTGGAACTTCAACCACTTTAAACCCGTTGAAGTTGGCGCCCGAGATTTTATTAGAAAGTCAGCACGGTAAGTGACGCCAAGCTTAAAAAAGGAAAGTTTTCCCCCGGGAAATAAAACCCTTTTTACACAACTTCCACATAGTTGTCGCTTTTGTTATTTCCCAGAAAACACTTTGTGATGGCGCAAAATGCTCTCCAAGCCTTTTTTCATTTTTAGCCAGTCTTCGGACCAGTAAAAATTCCTGCCTTTAGTTTTGCTATGGTCAGACTAGGAAACATCGATCTAATATGTCTAAAGGCAAGTGAATTTGTGTCTTCACGAATTGTTTGGCTAAGCCTAATTTAATATGTAAAGAAGGAAGTAAAATATTCTCCTTAACAGCCAGAGGATCATGAATAACATTGTATTTTCACGGTATAAGATTTTCTCTAATGGCCATATGCGTCTAACAAAGTGTTTACTATCTGCACGGCTGATTCAATTTCTTCCAATTCTGATTCTTTTGAACTTAAAGTACCTGGGGGAAAAGAAACAGGGAGCGTATCGCTATGTTCAATTGATGCAGTGGTAGACCGTAAGTATATATATACAGTTACGTTAGTGTGTGTATTTTATCTAAGTGATCATGGTGAATTATTGTGTTTTTAATTATAAATAAAAGTCAAGAACTAAATTTTTGCATTTTTATGTATTGCCAAAGGAATTAATACGGTTTGGAATTTTTTAGGAAATCTATGGAAAGCAATGGTGGGCGAAACCAAATTGAAACTGGCGAGTTTAATAACGAATGATCAGTGTTTTTATCTCTTGAAGAATGTCAAGACACTGATTGTTGATTATTTAAGTTATTTTGTCTATTTACATAGCTAACTACAATACGAACCTTTGTAAGCTTATTTAAGAATGCAAAAAAAAATTAATTAATTGTTAGACAGATTGGCGGAAAAAACAATGAATACAAAATTATTTTCCTGGGTTATTTCAATATTTAAATTTTTGAGGAACCAATTAAAACTTTAATTAAAAGAGGTAATTTTTAGTAAATTTCAGGGCTCCCACGGCTAAATTACAAATTTTATTTAGGAATTTAGGAGATTTTTTGTAAAATTTTAGGAGAAATAAAGTATGGAAGTGAATTTCTTTAATTAAATAAAAACAATTCTTTACTACTTAAATAAAAAATAAGACAAAAATTAATACCTATTTTTTTAACAAATATATAAATAAATATCACTGGGCCTTTCCTCAAATTGACCAGGCAAACGATTTTTTTTTTAAATTTCTCTACCTAAATCAATGAGACCCGTATTTTTTCTTTTTGCTTAAATTTGTTTTGTTCACCCGTAGGAAATTTGAATTTGAATGGACAGAAACATCGATTTTTCTCTTTTTACATTTTTTCTTGAAAATGCGATAACTTGGCCAAAAATGTTTGGATCGTTACAATTTTTTTTTAATTGTAGGGAAATGTTTATTACATACCAAACAAATTAAATAAATTCACAAAAAAAATGTTTAATTGTTTTTTCTCAAAAAGGCAAAAACAATTTTTTTTACTTCATATTTTTTTCGTTTGAAGTTAATAATAGGAACAACTTTTTACCAAAAGTCCCGAGTTGGCTAAATTCGTCGTTTCGAAATTATTTTTTTTAATGAATTCTAGTAAATTCGTGCTTCATCGCAAAAATTTGGTATTTTAACTGGGGTCATGAAACTGGGGTGACCTTTATAAAGTGTAATTTAGAACTTTTTGACATATTTAACATATTTTTGTCTTGTGCTCTTAAGTACTTAAGTAAATTAAATTATAAAGGATTTTAGAGTAAAATTCTTAATATATTTGCATGTGTTAATTTTGGTTAAAATAATAAGAATAAAGTATTATATACCTAAAAGTAATGAATCGAATGCACAAGAAACTTATAAAAAACGCGATTTCGAAGAAATGTAAAACACAAACAATTCCGAAAAATTTTGTTTTATTAACACATATGAGTGAGGCATTCGCGAAACTCGTTTTGACAGGCTCTATCAGGAAGGAAAATAAGTATTAAGCCTAAGAGGTCCAGAAACTAATGCGCATGTTAATTATGTTTAGAAAAACAATTTTTTATTTAATTTCATATTTGGTTTATTTATTTATTGCAAGATATTCCCTACAATGGCCACACTATGGGGCGGTCGGATATAACTTTTTATAATGGTTTTAAAATATTTGAATGATTTTATTTAGTAGGTTAACCAAAAAATGTTTAGGAATTTTTTACACCAGTGGCGGCTGGTAGATTTTGGGTATACCAATATTTTAGTTATTAACGGACCCAAACCAAAGGTCTTTCTGCCCATATAAATACATTTATATATTAACAATAAATTTGGTAAAAAATTATTTGAAATAATTATATATAAAAAAAGACAAAATAGACAAGTTCTGCGCAAACAGAATTTAAATTGAAGTTTGCGAATAAAAGTTGGTTTTTCCTGTCGCCTCACCCGCTTCCTGAGGTGCAATTTATAAACTACTATAATTTATCGACAAATTTAAAATTTTATTTAAAAAATTTGTTGTGATATTATATCATTTTAAAAAGAATTTAATAAAATAGAACCTAAAAATATATATTTTTAAAATAGTAGATTATGTCATAAGGAGTAGAAGTGACTCTTTTTGTGGTGAATACAGAGATTGACGGCCGAAGCGTAGCTGAGGCAGGCAACTGTACGAAGCACAAAAAGAGCTTCTACTCCAAATAACAAATACTATTTTTTTTCAAGGGCGTTATATAAATATAATAAGCAAAATTTACATTAAATGTACAATTACACGCACTGCAGCTCTTCAATTAAATCATGTGGGATAAAATTTTGGCTAAAAGCATTAGAAATTATTGATAAAAACTAAAAAAACTTATAACCCTTACTTACAATGCCGATAAATATCCTAAACTAAAAATAAACACAGCTCTGTCAAAATGCTGCGCTTGAATTAATTTTGACGTACTGACATTTGTTTGAAATTCCGACATTGGCGACTCGTCTATCATCATAATATTATACTAATAAACTAGTTGTTCTTTATTTCGTTCAATTAAAATTTAATAAATAATCACTAAATATTCCGTGCGATTATAATTAATATAATTAATACATCGTGATTGCTTAGTATGAAATGCTAAATTAATTTTATTATTTGACGTCTATTGAGTCACCTATGGATTTACTTCTATCCCTAGGCTTTTTTGAGTTTTTTGTCTGCCGCTAATGAAAAAGACGCACTTCAACTATCTCTATACATATGTATGCATATAAGGTTGTATATCATGGCCGCTTGAAAAAAAAAGAATTTTTTTAGCACAACTACCTTAATTAGGCGTATTTAAATTTAATTTTTAAAATTTTAGGAGTTTGATGGAAATTTTAGGAGAATTTTATGAGTTTTAGGAGGTGTAGGAGCCATGAAATTTGTATTTTACCATAACCAAAATAATTGCCACATTTTTATCGCTTTTTTTAGCACCCTAATGTTATATTTATTATTATTAATTAATTATTTATTAGACTCTAGTCTAATAAATAAAAATAATTTTATTTGATTAAGAAAAGAATCTTGCATGTTGGGAAAACCTTAAAGAAATAAAACCCACACGAAAATTTAATTATCTTTATTATAAATAGTATTTTACTCGGCTTCCCCTGGTTCCTCATCGCTTTCATCATCGCCATGCCCCATCATCCGTCTATCGTAGAGCGGAAACAGCTTGAAGCTGCCGACTTTTTGGCCATCAATAAAATTGTAGGAGTTGCAGCACTCCGTGCAGAGAAATATTTTCTCCTGCGGAAAGCGATCGCTCCCGCTGACGATCCACTTTGCGTAATCGAAAGTACACATGTAGCATTGAATGTTACTCTTTCTCTTATTGACGGTGATTCTCGGATAGCATTTTCTGTTGAGTACGTCGGAGTCCTGAATAAGTTTTGCATCACAAAACGCGATTATGTGCTCGCAATCTCCCTGATGCAAATACACGTATGGGTAGCCCAGTCGTGGTTTTAAGTCGCTAAATTTTGTCTAAAAATGAAATACAGTTTGTATATAAAGGGACCAAAAATTATTTGCCATAGAAATGTTGTTTTAACCTTTTAAACGACAACTAATAAGCAATAAAAACGTTAAAAATATTTCTTAAAAAAATTAACAATTGTTAATAATTTGTATTGAAGGTATGTGTACCATACATAATTGCGCAACATTTTGTTAAAACTATTATAATTATCACAATACTTTATATCTTTTGGTAAATTAATGAAAAGTTTTAAACCATAGGAAAAACATTTTTTTGACTTCTACTTTTTTAAACTTTTTAATAAAAAAGTCTTTGTTTTATCTTGTTTCATACATATGAACTGTGTTTAAATAACAAACATCACAATAAAAAAATACTAATTTATGTTTAATTTTAAAAATTATATCTAAAGCTTTATAATATATTTTTTGTATAAAATCTAAAAATCTAACATTAAATTAATGGGTGTATATTTATTACATTTTAATATAGTAAGTAATGCTCTATTTTAAATTATTTGTAGTTTAGATAGTTCACTTTGGTTTAGTTTAAAAAGGACTTTTGAACAAAACTCGATATGTGGTGAAAACAGAGACTTATACAAAACAATATTTACATATAAACTTAGTTGTTTTCCTATTCTATTTAAAAAAATACACTTTTTGACATTTTTGGCATAATATAATTACAATGACTAGAAAAAATTAATCGTTGGTCTAAAATAACACCCAAGTATTTTATCTCATTTACCCTTTCCTGACTAGAATTATTGATTTTTATATCTACATATACTTAAAATTTGAGCCAATAACAATAGATTTACATTTATTTGTAAGACAAAGATCGTTATTAAATAACCAATTATAAAGAGAATATAAGTCATTTCTTTAATATTACTTCCTCAAACATACAACATAGTATCATCCGCAAACATTGAAACATTACACTTATTTATACAATTAATCATGTCATCAACATATATGATTAATAATAAAGGACCTAGAACTGTACCTTGTGGTACTCCATACTTAGCAGATATTTTTTTAGAAATATGTTTATTAAATTTAACATTTTGAGTTCTATTTGTTGGATATGATTTAAAACACTTAAGTACATTACCAAATAATCCAATTTTATTCAGCTTTTTTTATAAAAGTTCCCTATTTATAGTTCCAAATGCACGACGAAAATCTAAAAATACGGCAATAACGACTTCACCTTTGTCAAAAATTAATTCACTTATTACAAATATTTAAAATAACAGTTTCACACGAATGTTTACTTCTAAAACCAGACTGACACTTATTTATTACAGAATTTTCTTCACAATAAGTATTCAATTAATTGTTTTTTAACACACAACTTCAAACCTTTTGAAACATACACACAGTGTTAATTGGTCTAAAATCTTCAGATTTAATGGAGTGTGCAATTTTTTGAATGGGAACTATTGTAAAATTTTTCATAGGTACATTCTGGAAACTCACTGTATAACAATAAAATTGTTAACTATATCAAGAAATTGATTTCCTACTACTTCATATGCATCTTTTAATATTGAAGTAGTAACTCCATCTGTATCTGCAGTTTTCTTAAGGGTATTTAACATTTTTTTTATGTCTAACATATTCATTGGTTTGAAGGTATTTAAATTTTTACAAAATGAAATTTTACTTAAAAAATTATTATTATTCTTAGGAATATTTTTGACAATATTCTCAATGCTCTGAATAAAGTATTCATTAAATTTACTTGCAATATTTATTGGGTCATTTATTTCAAAATTATTAAACTTAACACTTGATGGTAAATTAATTAATTACTTGCTGAAACAAAATTTGTATGGTGTGCCTCTTAAGCATTATAAAACTTAAACTTAACTTAAGAGGTAAATTAAAAAGACCAAGAATAGGTATACACGCGCAAACACTTAAAAAAAGGCTTTTCGGGGCAAGGGCCATATTTTCCACAATTTTCCATATTTTCGCATAATTTTTTTTACAAATACTTCGAAACACACCCTATTCGATGCTTTATAGTTTGTTTCAATATAATAATTAATATATGTATACCAAAAAAATCACTAAAAACCGTTAATTTTTACGTTCTTATTTGTACGTAACCCCTTAGCAACTGCATATTTGGAATCAACGCATACGAGTTTGTCATTAAAAAAAATTGTTTACGGTTAGCTAACAATTTTTGAGAACGTTACAGGGTTTTGAATACCGCAAGATTCAAAACGCTTCGATGACCTCGAAGAGAGACATCACGATGTCATAACAGATGTGTCAAGAATTACGAATTAATTCAACATCTGCTTCTAGCATGGTTTCTAGGTTTTTATCAATATTATTTAAAGTATTTAAATACTAGAGGTGCGAATTTTCAATTTAAAAAATAATGTTATGAACTTTATACTAAAATCACGGTGCTGTAAAAATTACGAACACAAATCAATTATTTGAATGTTATAATTGTTTTTCTTATAAAACCAATAACAGCGTATTTTCACGGTGCTGTTCTGAGAGGTTATTTTTGGACTTTCTGTGAAACCTAATTTTTTTATATTCTTGTTAATTAGGTCATAACTAAAATTTTAAGAGCAAAATAAAAAAAAAATTTGACGGTTTGAATTGTTTTAATTGGCTGTTTATTAAAAATATGATGCACTCTTTCAATTATCCAATTAAAACTAGCGATTTAATTTAAATATTTAATATTTGCATAACTAAAAAAAAGGTTTTTACAAATTTTTTTATATATTTTACTGTTGCAATAAACGTTCAAACTTTTAATCTAACCTTTGACGTATACATTTATGTTCCCTTAATTTATATATCCTTAAAGGTTGCCAGGAAACTTAGATCTATTAAAAATTTATTTGACGTTTGAATTGTCATTTTCAGTATACGTATTCTATAATTTTTGTTTAGTTTTTTAAAGTGTTTTTTATAAACAAAAATGAAAAATTGTAGTAAAAGTTACGAAGAAATTCATGAAATTTAACTAAGGACCGGTTTATTCATCTTTAGTAAAGTTTATCGGGCCGATAACTTTCATGTCTTGGCAATATCTAGTATCCAAAGAAATTATTCGTCAAATAAATCAAAAATGAATAAATCGGCCCTAAATAAAATGTGGCACCCTTAGAATTATTGTTTAATAAATGTATACTATACATTTAACCTTAAATTAAAACTTTAAACGTGTATTACAACAAAACAGTAAAAGATATAAAAAATGTATAGACCTTTTTTTAAGGAAATTAACTAATCTTTAATCTGATTTAAAAAGTTATGACAATATTTAAATAAAATCGCAAGTTTTAATTGGAGAATTGAAATTGTGCATACATATTTTTAATAAACATCCAATTAAAACAAAATTAACCGTCAATTTTTTTTTTATTTTGCTCTTAAAATTTTAGTTATGACCTAATTAACAAGAATATAAAAAAAATTAGGTTTCACAGAAAGTCCAAAAATAACCTCTCAGAACAGCACCGTGAAAATACGCTGTTATTGGTTTTATAAGAAAAACAATTATAACATTCAAATAATTGATTTGTGTTCGTAATTTTTATTTTTGCATATATTTCATTTGTAAATTTTGACACGCTCATTATACCTACCAATATATCATGCATTTATATAACAACATCGTGACGTCACGCTTCCGAGATAATTTATTGATTTTCAGTAATGTTTAAGGAAAAATTGGTAGCAACAATCGTTATATTCAATGGTATGGTTGTTTTTAATGACTAATTTCTATAATAGAAGTAGTTTTACACTGATTTTTGACATCATGAGAGCGCAGTATTTCTGCTCTATAGAAAGAGCTCTGTGTTTGTTTGAGGGTAGGTAGGCAACCAAGATTACAAATCGATAATGCTGCGCTCTAATTGGCGGCTTTAAAAGTTAAATAACTTTTCCAATTTTGCGAATTCAAAAAGATGGTAAAGAAAAGTTTCATGAGGGATTTGCATTTACCCTTTAGGTCGTCAATTTAGGGACACCCTGTATGATATGATTTATAAAATATTACATTTAACTTTCTGGGAAGTCATGTAACACGTTATACATTTTTATAAAATAGGTAATACTTATTCGTGTATAATACACGTATACTTTTTTCAAGAACAAAAAAATTACAATTTTATTGACGAAATAAAACAAATGTATAACGTGTTACATGACTTTCCATACCTATTAGGTATGTACATACAGTCTATGTATATTTTGTATTGTATAATACAATTTGTATAGTAACCAAATAATTTACTGTACCTTTTTAAAAATTTGTATGCTGCACCAACATAAATCAAATTTATACTCATAAAGACGAATTGCATTTGAATGCAGGCAACGCGTTGCACCGGTGCCCGATCGATAGTATGAGAAGTAAAATTGTTTCTGGTCAAGTTTTACTTATTTTTTTTAAAATTATAAGCTGATTAGGTCTAGTTACTTTATATTTTTAGAAATATGAATAAATATCTATTGTTCCTTTTTAAGTTGCACACATTATTTTTTTTTTAAATAGATAGAGCAAAATTTTTATTGATAAATAAAAAATATGTATTTTAGGGATTTAAAGTAGAAATTTACAAATTTAAAACAGCTAACATAACAAAAGAAGCAGTTTTTCACAGTAAAAGTAAAATAATGTTTTATAGGCACTTTACAGTGGAGTCTCCACCCAAAATTTTTAACGCTTTCAGTTAAATCTAGTTTACTGCCGGCAAAATCAAAAGGTCAGTACAAACTTGCATATAAAGTTTTCAAATGGTTATTGGGGTCGAAAAACTATTTAATAATTTTTTCTACTCCTATTACGAAATATGACCGTTCTAATATTACTTTTTATTGTGGAATTACATATATTCCTTAAAGTGTTACATAATCAATTATTTTATCACCATATGACGGAATAAACACTAGTGGGGATATCTCTGTGTTTATTATCTTACAACTTTTAGACCGATCCAACCTCACTTTCTCCCAATTATATTATTTTTCTGTTTTTTTTTTGGACACGTAGAAAAATTATAGTCACATTTGGAATTGCATATTCCGCTCTCGTGAACCCATATATATTTTTATTATACTAAAATTATTTATTTATATAAAAACATACAAAACAATTTTCCAATGATTTTTACAAAATAAAGTTATTTGAATGTGATTTATTATGGTACAAAAGGATTTAAAATATATTTACAATGTTTTTAAATAACTTTAATTAATTATTATTTTAAAACAAAACAATAATATCATATATACAGTGTGTCCCATTTGTTTGCGACACACCCTTGTAAAATCTTTAGTTATTGTGCGATTTTAACCGGATTTGTTTTAAAGTGTAGATCTTGATAAACTGTATTTTTGGAGCAAAAAACGCCATATTTGTACAAAATGGGAGGTCTACTATATCAGTTTTTAAGAGTAAATTTTTAAGATTTCTTATTAGCGATTTTTTTAAACAAAATCCAAGCACGGTACCTCTCAAAACGCCCCTTTTAGACTGGGCCAAAAAAATCAACTATTTTTTTTTTGAAAAGTAGGTATATATATATCAAAAATATGGTTTGGAATTGAAAAAAAAAATTGTGAAAGTTTGAGTCCATAATATTAATATTAGGAGGTCTATCATCGCAATTTTAAATTTTTTTTCTTCAGCAAGTTTTTGTCTCTGAACTCCCAAACTATTGAGTTTAACAAAATTGACTCAGAAATATTTTTTAAGAAAATTAAATGCTCTACAAAAAAGGTTAAAATGAAATTTTCCGTCAGATGAACCGTTTCCTTAAAATCATGCCTTAAAAATTGGTATAGTTTTACATTTTGATCTTTTAACTTTGGAATTTTGTAATTCATGTAAAAATCAGTACCCAGTAAAAAACCGATGAATATTCTTATGGTAAATCAAATGCTTTACAAAAAAGCCTCTTAAAATTTTTGGCTAAATTCACTCAATCAAGTTATTGAAGGTTAAAGTTAAAGTCAAAACGAAATATTTGTTTTTTCCTCTGTATATTTATTTTTTTATGGGTGATAATTTGATTTTTTTTTATAAATGTGTATTATATAACTAATTAACAATTTCATATAAAAAACAACATGATTGTTATTATTTAAACGATTAAATAGGTGAACAGTGAACAAATAGGTAAACAGTGAAAATAATATTTTCTAAAGAAAATAGCTTCTTAAAACGAAAAAACTCTAATGTGTTATTTTTTTTTTAATTTTCAGTAATTTTATAAATAACATAAAGATTATCATCGATAAAAGAATTCAAGTTTTCTTTAGCGGAAAAAAACAAGAATTTCGTTTTGACTTCAAATTTAACCTTGAATAACTTTTGATGGAGTGAATTTAGCCAAAAATGTTAGGAGACTTTTTTGCAGAGCATTTGATTTTCCATAAGAATATTTATCGTTTTTTTTTCCGGGTACTGATTTTTACATGAATTACAAAATTTCAAAGTTAAAAGATCAAATTGTAAAACTATACCAATTTTTAAGGCATGTTTGTAAGAAAACGGTTCATCTGACGGGAAATTCCAATATTACCTTTTTTGTAGAACATTCAATTTTCTTCAAAAAATATTTTTAAGTCAATTTTGTTAAACTCAATGGTTTGGGAGTTCTGAGACACAAACTCGCTCAGGAAAAAAAAATCTAAAATTGCGATGATAGACCTCTTAATATTAATATTATGGACTCAAACTTTCACCATATTTGTTTTTTGTCACCCCAAACAATATTTTCGATATACTTTTCAAAAAAAAAAAAAAATAGTTGATTTTTTTGGCCCAGTCTAGGCCCTATACTAAATTTTATTGAAAAATTTTATGTAGAAAAATGAACAATAATAACAACAAAAATTTATTCTGTCAAGTTATCCATGAAAAAACATTGAAGTAAAATAAAAGTTATAGTAATAGTACCATGTTACTAATAGTTTAATTTTATTTCAGTTTTTTTTCATGGATAACTTGAGAAAATAAATTTTTGTTGTTATTATTGTGCATTTTTCAATAAAATTTAGTATAGGGTCGTTTTTAGGGGTGGTGAATCCAGTGCCGTGCTGAGATTTTGTTTAAAAAAATCGCCAATATGAATTCTTAAAAATTTACTCTTAAAAACTGACATAGTAAGCCTTGTATTTTGTACAAATATGGCTTTTTTTGTTCCAAAAATACAGTTTATCAAGATCTACACTTTAAAACAAATCCAGTTAAAATCGCATAATAAATAAAGATGTCAGTGGCAAACAAATGTGTCATTTAATCAAATAATATCATTGTTTTTTTTTGTCTATTTTTTCTATTTTAGGGTCACTTTTTTATTATTTAAGTTTATAATATGCTTGAGATATATATTTTTCTCAATAAAGAATATGGTAGATATTATACAAGTTTTTAAACAATATATCTTTACCACTAAAAATGTATAGCACCTAGGGTAAAGGCACCAGTAATTGCCACTGTACCAGTAGTTGCCATTTATTATTTAGAAATTCAAAAACAAAACCATATGCAATATCTGTGCATATGGCGCACTCCCTATGCGTAAGGAAGTGTATCTAGTGTATTATGTATTTAGAATAACTGTCACCAGGTGGCGCATTTTTCGACAGAAAAACAATATTCAGGCAACTTGTTGAATCAGCTGTTTATAACAGATTTCTTGTGACTTTGGTTAAGAAAGTGTAAGATTAGTTTTTCGTGGTATTGGAATAGGTTTTAAATCAATTTGAGTTTTGTTTGTGCAATAGGCATATATGCTAAGTAGTTTAAATGAAACGCATATAAATTGTTCGTTAAATTAAAAGAGTATTTTGATTTACAGTAGTGGCAATTACTGCAGCATTTTTTTTCTTTTAACCCAATATTTGCCATTTGTGGGAATTACCTACTGAAGAATTTTGGATTATCGTATTATGACCTTTAAAGCTCTAAACTAACCTATAATATTTAGTTTATGCTTGACATTAATAAGAACATTATATTTAAAGAGAATCCAGTAATTTCCACCTCTTTTTGAATGTGTCAATTACTGGTTCACTTTAGTGGCAATTATTGATCCAGGTATAAAATCCAAATTGATCAACATGGAACCAAAAAACAAGCCCTTTTTTCGCTATTCCCAAGAAAGCAAAGAATCTGCATTGGCTGCTTGCCAAGGTGATATGCCATTTTCCATTTTTCTTGTTTAATTTAATAAAATAAATTAATGGCAATTACTGGCCAGGTACACTGGCAACTACTGGTTTTTTAAAAAATGGTCATGTCCTTGTATAAGTAGGTATATATTAACTACATGGTTTTTATTAAGACGAAATCTAAATTTCTTCTGGTACTTTTTTAGCTATTTTGTGTAAACACTAGCTTATAATGGCAATTACTGGTGTCATTACCCTACATAATTTTGAACCACCCTATATAACTTTTAAAAAGTTAAAGTTGTTATAAGGTTTAATTACTTACAGAATCCATTATTTTTGTTCCAAACAGCTGAATTCCTTTACACTTCGCCCATTCTCGACAAGGTTCAGAATAATCAATGGCATTTGGAGACCTCATATCATTGTAAAATACATTTTCAATAAAAATACTACTAGAAGGATAATGAGCCTAAAATTGAAAAAATATTATTCATAAATATAATTTTTATACTTTCCACTTACTTTTCCATTAACTAAATGACTAAGATTTTCTTCTGTTGTCTCTACTTCTTTGTATAACCCATAGTCAGTTAAACAATCAATTTTATCTGCCAATTCACTTAACAAATTACTGCCTAAGACCTCAATTTCTTGTGATAGCCTTACTTTTTCAGAATTGTTTAAGCCTCGGGTAATGGACATAGGTTTATACACTAATATTTTAATTATAAATTCAGACACTGGGTATTCATCTTTAATTTCTTCAGGATTATTCTAAAAGTAGTTATACTTTAAACTATTTTATTATGGTTAGGTTTTATTATACCTACCGTATTTAAATTCACAAGAGAGAAAATGTTACACGAGAAAAATAATCGTTCAACATTTTTGTATTTTGATTTAAAGTATTTTAAAACATCTTCTCTGTATTTAACACTTTCTAGCTCTAAAGCTTTACTTGTAACAGGGTAAAACTCATTTAGTCTATGCTTATTTGTTAATCTACTTGGAATATCAACAGGTTTATAAACTGTTTCATCTTTATTATCCAAAAGATCAATACTAAAAAGGGAATACCTTGTCATTGTGTATTTTATTTTGACAAACAAACTTACCTACATGCCTCTTCCAATTTATTTATAACATCACTATCGAGACTTAGATTTAACTCTTTCACAATGGCATCGTTTTTATCATTAGGAATACCAGTTTTATTTAAACCATAACAGGCTTTTCCATATTTATCAAAGTATTCCTGAAGATCTATAGGCTCTGAAGCATTATAGAACTCTGGTATATAAAATTCCTCCATAACATTTATTATCTTTAAACTAATTGTTTTGTTTACAGACCTGACAGTTACCTACATTTCAAAGTAGGGTTAGTTTGTTATGTGAGGTTATGTTCAAAACCATATACACTGCATGATTATAGCACAGAAACAGTGTTGCCACTGAAATAGAAGTGTGGATTATAGGCACAATGGATTGTGATTATAGGGTTAATTTAAAAAGTATGTTTTTTTAATAGTTATTTAATTATTTAAATAATATAAAATTTATATTTAGGTAATATAAATAAAGGATTTCTTATAATTATTAATTAGGATTATCAAATTTGAATTCTATTATGAAGTTTCTATGAATTAATAGAGTAATTGCATCAAAAATGAAAATCCCTAAAAACCTTTTTAATGTAATCTAGAGGTAAAAACACATTGCAAAAATATTTTTTTATATTCCAAAAGTTCAACCCGGCCCCAAAACATCAAATTAAAAAAAAGGTACTTTTCAAACGTTCCGAACTCCCGCCAAATTGCATGACGTCATAAGCTCCAACTGTCAGAAATCAAGATGTCAACAAATAATAAACACCGATAAAGTTTATGTTTAACATGGAAAAGGCGAAACCAAAAATTGGTTGTAAATATTGTTTTGTGCCTTGTTGTACAAATACAACCTGGAAAACTCCTGGGAAAGTTGTCCCTTCAATTATCAAAAGCAAAGTTTATGACCCTACACTGAGAGTAGTTACGGCTCAGCCGTATTTTCTTGGGTTTATTAATATTTAACATACCTATTCAAACCATATACCTAGTAAACGACATTTTATTTTACTTACATTAAAATGATCCTTAAAATGATCAATAAAATGTTGACTGCGGTGACGATGTTTTGATATCGCGCCGAGCTATTTTAATCCACTTTATCCTTATTTTCCCTTTTGGCACGGTGATAAACCTTTTCCCAGGAGTTTTCCAGGTTGTATTTATACAAGGCACAAAACAATATTTACAACCAATTTTTGGTTTCGCGTTTTCCATGTTAAACTTTATCGGTGTTTATTATTTGTTGACATCTTGATTTCTGACAGTTGGAGCTTATGACGTCATGCAATTTGGCGGGAGTTCGGAACGTTTGAAAAGTACCTTTTTTTCAATTTGATATTTTGGACCCGGGTTGAACTTTTGGAATATAAAAAAATATTTTCGCAATGTGTTTTTACCTCTAGATTACAATAAAAAGGTTTTTAGGGATTTTCATTTTTGATGCAATTACTCTATTATTGAATTAAATAGGAATTAGGAAAGAAAAATAATAATAAAGTCTACTCTTATTTATAAGCTCTGACAAAAGTAGCTAAGAGTAGGGAAAGCATGTCCTAATTAGGACAGCAAACGCCAGTAATACTAATAATCCAGACATTTGGCATCTGCTCTAAATAATAACGTATTATACTATATAATAGGTAAAAAAAGTAATTAAAATATAAGAATAACATGAATTTAATATGACTGATAAAACTGATAAAACACTAAACAAGGGTCTATTGTCCAGAGGGCACCTAACATATACATATATATTATCAAATAAAGTCGTTTATTAATACCTAATAGGTACCTATTATAAATATAAATAAATATTATAAATAATTATTATTATTATTATAATCACAAAACATGAGATAGTATACTATATACACATATGTGGCAGGAGAATAACATGGGCTGATTTTTTATACTTTTCTTTTTTTGTTTTTTTCCAAAACCTGGGATATAAATTTCTTTTTCCAAAATTTACAGAACCTAGGATTATATTGCGACGTTGCCAAATTTCCAAAAAATTCTCATAATCTTGGATTTTTGTTTTTTTCGTTGTTGCCAAGTTTCTTAAAAAAATCCACGAACGTAGGAAAATCTTTAGGTTAAGTCTAGTAATTAGGTACTTAAGGCATCTTGCACTATTTGGCGGTCTTGCCAAATTTATATATATATATATATATATATATATACCGAGTGTATCTGAGAATAGGCGCACCCCTGTAACTTTTTTATTTACAAAGATAGACACATAAAATTTAGCCTGGTTAATTAGAATATAAAATGCCACTTATAAGAGTACAACATGAATTTTTTTGAACTTCCGTTTTCGCCGGAAATGATATCAACTTTCGATTTTTAAATGAAACGCCCTATATATTTTGACATATTTGGAATCCTGAGAAAATTATGAGTCGGACAGCATCCTCAAATTGACCTTTCGTCGTTTCGTCATCAGAAAATGCATCATCGAGATATTCTATTTCCCAAAAATAGGAAATTTTGTTTTGTTTCTTAATAATTTTCAAGCTCATACGAAGGCGTAGAAGGGCCAACAACAATATTTTTTTTTTAATAAAATTTTTAATCGACAATTGTCGATCGGACCGACAATTGTCGATCGGACCGACAATTGTCGATCGGATCGACAATTGTCGATCGGATCGACAATTGTCGATCGGACCGACAATTGTCGATCGGATCGACAATTGTCGATCGAATCGACAATTGTCGATCCGATCGACAATTGTATATATACAGAGTGTTTTTCATTCGTGGTCCATTAGAAGTTTTTGGGAAACGAAAAAGATATTGAATATTTTTCGAATTATTATTTTTTTTCGTTAAAATTTAAGAAATGCGCGTCAATCAAAAATAGCCTATAACTTTTTTGTTATGAGGTTTGCAAATATAGGGTTGGAATTTTTGGAATATTAAAAAAATTAGGCCAAATTGAAGGTTAATAACTTTTTTATTTCAAATGTAACACTTTGTATGTTTTTACATATTCAAATAGTAAATTAAAAAACATTTCGATTGATGTTACTATTCCCTATACCTAAAGTTAATAATTTCAGAGATTTCTAAAATTTTACATATTATTTTGTATCACGAAACCTGTGACGGGTGAGTTGACGGTTTCTATCCGAGACTGGTTTCTATGGTTACCACGTAATTTGTAAAATTTAATCGCGTCAATTTTTCAGGTCTTTATCTCTGGTTGTTATAAACAATTTGTTAACTAATTATAATATAAACACTTATAAGTGTTTAAAAATTAATAATTCGAAAATTTTTAAAATAATATTAGGTAGGTAATAATATTTAAGTTGATCTGGTTTAACCGGAAGTGGCATTTTGTTCAAATTATTATAGAAAAATAGACTTAAATGGATTATAAACGCTTTTAAAATTTCAAATCGATATCTTTTTTCGTTTCCCAGAAACTTCTAATGGGCCACGAATGTGAAACACCCTGTATATATACAATTGTCGATTCGATCGACAATTGTCGATCCGATCGACAATTGTCGGTCCGATCGACAATTGTCGATCCGATCGACAATTGTCGGTCCGATCGACAATTGTCGAACCGATCGACAATTGTCGAACCGATCGACAATTGTCGATTAAAAATTTTATTAAAAAAAAAATATTGTTGTTGGCCCTTCTACGCCTTCGTAAGCTCATGAGCACAAACTAATTAACAGATTTTTAAGCGCGATATATATTCTTGTGAGAAATTGAACGCTCTACAAAAAATGTCTCCTTTCATATCCAACCACGAGTTCAAAAGTTATTCAAAGTCGAAGTTAAATTTATGTCATAATTGCATTTTTTACTTCAATTTTAGGCAAATTTATTAGTTAGTTATTATCAAATATAAAAAAACTTATTCAAAAAATCAAAATTACTATACATATATGTTTAAAAAGCCTTTTAAATTTATTCCACTAAAAAATCTACTAATTTTGGAAAGCAGATATGTTAGTTTGGTTCAATGCAAATTATTTTGTTTTTTTCACAATTTAATCTTCGACGCCGTCGGTAGTCAGTAAACAAGTGCCAACGGCAACGCCTATAATGCTTCCAGCTTCGCCAAGTTATAACGCGCGGACTGTACACGTGCTTAAAAATTAGCTATAAGATGTTTGGTCTTGATAGACCCCACCCGACCAAAAGCGTTTTCCAAAATAATAATAAGTACTTTTATATAAAAACTTTTTTGGTTTTAATAAAATTGTCTCTGATTTTCACTTTGACTTAGGGCCGCCTCTGCCTGCAGTAGTTGTTAAGTAAAATTATTTTTTTTTATTTTTAGGATTAGATGATACAATTTGAGTTTTTTATCTAGGGACACCTTAAATCAAGTAGCTGTCGATAAGCATTTATTTATAAAATATAGCTAAATTTGACATTAATGATATAAAAAGATATATCATTTAAAATAAAAAACTTATAATAAACAACTAATAAGGTATCCCTACCTGGCTACCTATTTTTTTAATGTCATTGCGTCAATTGGTGAACCAAGCACAAACAATACAATTTTCTTTTTGTACGTATGTGAGATGTATGCCGTACGTAAATCGAAAAACAGGTTTTTGACATTTTAAATTGATAACGCAATGTAAAACATTTAAAAAATAGACTGTAGGTATTATCCACGGTCACTAATCATTCTCTCGTAACTTTAGCGGAAAAAGTGATTGAGAAGTTTTATATTTTATAAATTAAATACTTTAAATACATTTTAGTCACGAATTTAAATCAGGCACGAGCGAGATTGTCTACGACAAATATTTATCATTATCCAAAAAAAAAAAGATATTTGTATAGAGCGACATCTATAAAACAATAGAGTAACCAACTTGGGAATCTGTATATCAAATGGGAAATTTTTATGTGTAAATCGAAATGTATCCCTTGAAAATGGACTAACAACAGTTTTTCCCAGTGAAAGTAAAGAAAATGTTTTATGGGTACTTCACGGTGGAGTGTTCATATAAACTTTTTAAATATTGGCTTTGAAAAACCATTTAATATTTTTGCATTTTTTATTGAGGTAATAAAATAATGTTACATTTAGTATTATTTTACAAGAAAGGCACTTTCGATTGTATGACATTTGACAACTGTCAACTAACTTAAAACTAACTTCAGCCCGCGACTAAAAACCTGTTGCTAACTCCAGCCCGTGACCAAAACGCCAAAAGCCACAACTTGTCAATGTGTATTTAAAAGGTCATTTGATTTCATGGAAA